ACTATCGCTAAGCACGTTGTAATTCGACCTTAAATGTCGGAGATCTATTAAAATTCCCTGGCCAATTTCCAGAGTGGATAGGGAGAGAACCTAATTCGCTACCAAGCGATATTCAATATAAATAGTACTAGTTCGCAGCTGGAGTTCTACAAATTAGTCGATCTAAACTCCGACTTCTAAACTCTGAAAACGTAACGGGAACACACAGCAACATTGCGAAATGACTCATTCAGAATGGTCGTGATTAAAATTAATGGTAAATCATCCGGCATGGTAGATGCTTCCATGAAATCGCGAAACTTGGTAAACCAGTTCCGAGGAAGATTCTCGGCCGAGCGTTACTAAAAATACGTCTTCGGTCGTCTCTCGTTGCATTGCGTTGGACGATCGATCCAATCAGTCCTCCGACGATTTTTCTGCTCGTTATTCTTCAATATGAAAAATATTGCTGATTAAATTAAAACCTTGAACAAGGCTGTACATTCTATCCGTTCAGTCATTTAAAAATAAATGAATACATAAATGAACGAAGTTTTAACTCGACCGTAGTCATACGAGATCATGAAACATTGTTTGATCGCTGTAACGGGGGTGAACGAAGTTGAATGCGGAAGAATATAAGCGTAAACGTGAACGGAAACTGAGAAACGAGCGAAGCGAACGAGTGGTAAGAGGGAATGGGAGGATAAAGGAAGCGCAAGGTCGTGAAACAAGAAGCAGGAAGGCGTATAAGGTGAGGCTCGGCCTACACACAGGGGACACCCTGGACGCCGACGCCGACGTCGGCGTGAACGCGACGGTTCGCGGCGGTCGATGCCACCAGATGCCACTGTGGCGCTCGCATCGCTCGAAAATAAGCTCGTCCAAAAGCTTCACCGACTGCAGTAGCCCGGCATCCGTCGGCGCCGCGGCCAGAACGAACATTTTCCGCGGTACCAAATATATACTGTTCCACCGTGTCGTATGAATCTCGCCGATGGTAGGTCGAATGGCAGCTCAAGGCTGACCGAGAGTTACAACAAACGCGACGGACGCATCACCGTGTTCGACCATAGAGATCGTTCAACAGGGGTGACCCGCGAAGGGGCAGTGAAAAATAAAGTATAAAGGGTGAAAAGGGGAAAAGGAAAACAACGTCGACCATGAGGCGGCAGCCACGATCAGTAGACTAAAATTCGGTGGAGGGTTCTCTCGGTTCGCCTGAGCCCGTCTTTGTGCTTCACGGAAACGACCAGTTATCAGTTCGATCGGGGAGCAGTGGTTCGCGAGATCGCGCGACAAATGTGCACGGAGGTGGACAGTTGGACAGTGTGACATAGTGCGGCGAAGTAGGCGACGTAGAGGGAGGAAAAGGCCAGTGAGCGAAAAACACGAGAAGGGAAGGAGGTGGGACAGGATGCGGGGGCACAGGAAGAGGGCGCAGAGCCCCGACGATTTCTCTTATTCTTCATAGGGGGTACCGTTCCTTTCTTTTGTCGCGGAAGCAATCGAGCTTTCTCGCCGTCAAGATTTTTACAATCGTCCAGGACGCCTCTCGAGGTTTCTTCTTGGTGGTTGAATGGATCAGGGGTAGTGGTCGCGATTAAAATTATCACACCCTGTAATCCAATGTTTCAGCTGTGTGACCTTGTGGATTCCATTAAGAATGATACATATCTGTTTGATTAAAATCATTAGATTCGTTGATATCCAGGAAAAAGCATGAAAATGCGATGGGTTTTCGTAATAAATGGTGGCCCAGTTTCTAAAATTAATGCTCATCAAATGAAGGAAGGTATAATGTATAACTAACTGAAATCTTTACGAATCTCGTTTAATTTCATGAAACATAGTTAAAACGCATTCAATATAAGAATCCGATATTTTTCATGGAAAGAGTTCACGTAGTACTCTCCTCAGCTTCCAATTACGTCCCGTCTTTGAAAAGATCCTCGAGATTTTTCATTGGGAAAGGCCGACCGAAGGGGACACCAATGCGCGCGCGAGGTCGAAGTTGTGGCTTTAAAAACACGCCCGTGCACTGTACTAATTGCTGGGTAACAAGATAGACCCGATTGTGCTTACATTCGCATACTTTGACGCGGTGATTGAATATTTCCTTTCGTACGGACGTGTAATTAACGTGGACAATTAATCTAAAGCATGTTGACCCACGTCAAGTGTTCCTGTAGATGAGAATTAATTCTTTTACTACTGTACAACAAATTAGAATTCTAGAAAACGAAAAACAGAGTAGATGTCCATTTTCTCAAACACTTCATGTTTTGATTCGAATACTTCAAATATGAAAGCAAAAGTTAATGTTCAACTTAGAACTTGAATGAAATGACGATTCTCTATTTTAAAAAGGACTGATTAAGATTTTCTATTCGTTCAAGTTTTTTTTATTGTTTGAATCAAATTCAGAGGTGTGAATTCGAGAGACTTCATGATTTCAGTGTTAAGGGAATATTAGAATAAAGACGTATCTTTCTAATAAGCGTTTGAATAGAAAAAGAGAGAAATTATAGTTGATCTAAGTATAGCTGAAATTTTTTTCCTCCTTCGATGTGGTTGCTCTATAAAGTGGACAGAAATATGATACTACAAAGGACACCGATGAAGATGATCTCGCGCAGGATTTTTCTTTGAGCTACCCTCGTGTCTAGATCGACTTTTCACTTATTAACTGGAGTCAATAATGTAATACAATTCAATTCGTGGTCATGAAATTTTGCTGAGCTGAAAATGCATGTCAAATAAAATAAAATCTTACTAGTGACAATACAAATACTTTCCAAAATTCAGAATATATTTCAATTATACTGTATAACATAAAACAAAAGTATTTCAAGTATCTTTTCAGAACCAATAGTATAAAGAAGTACACAAAGTTTTCAATCGATTTTATATTACATATTGGATTTTATATTATTGGAGTTAATGTTTTTCTAATGCACTTGTCGCAAAAATTAAGTATGGCCCACGGAATTTTACGAGCTAGAATCTTCGAAGCTTCCCATATCATCATTGTCCCTTCGGCAACCATCACCCCGCTCGTTTCGGAAGTTTGTAAATAACAATCACCATAAAACTCTGGATAATGCTAACTTCATTCAATCGTGAAACCAACCAGATGGAAGCGGGAACTCCCCAGTGGAAAAGTCTACGCAAAGCCCGGCGCTAAGTTTTATCTCCATAAAGCTGGCGTTACGTAAATCAGGGCAATCCAATAAAACAAATCTGTAGTTTGCGGCCTAAAGTGCGCGGAAATATTCGAGTGTAGTCGTAGTTTCCGTCTACATCCTCGCTGGTGAATGGAAACGGAAAAGATGGGAAAAAGAAGAAAATGGGAATTCACAATAGTGGTGTTATTTCGAATTTATTAAAAGTTCTTGCGTTATCGAAAGCTATAAGGGTTCGCAATGCCCGCTGGTAATACGTGAATCGCACTAAATCTAATAAACGACCTCCAGCGTCTCCTGATCCTGAAAGGACGGGATGTGTAGAACGCGAGTCGTATCCGTTTGTATACGAAAACACCATGAGAAAAATTTCTGAGATTCTACGACCGCAGGAAAGTCGTGACAGTGTAAATTATGTGGCCTATTTTGTCCCTTCTTCGGTATTAAGCAAATTTGCGTTACACACGAAAATAAAAAACATGGTCTTACATGAATTTTGATTTGAGAGAGAATATCAACACTTTTTATATTTGCATTTTCGTATTATGTACATTTACGTATCCAGCCTTGGATTTTAAAACACGAATCGCTTTTCTACTCAACATTTTCTAAACAATCTAAGAGTAATTTTTAATTAAACATTAAATTGTACATGTGACGCGAGCAAGAAATTGTTATCAGGAAGAACTTTTCTCGTACATCACAATAGTTTTTTATCATTGGCAGCAAGTCACCGAAATAGCGTCAAAACTCACTGAAACTTTGTCGTCGCGTTGGCACGAATCAAACTTCTCCGAAAAGACGGAGAAACGCCTCCCGGATCAGAATACAGTAAAAGTTCAAGATGAGACGAGATCCAAATAGAATTACTCGTCACTTTCATTACAAGGAAACGTGAACGGAAAATTCGAAATGCTGATTCATTGTTATGCTAAGTTTCTTAGGTTTAATGTTGAGAAATTGGTACGTGCCCCTTGTATAAAAGGAGTAGGAAAGGAATGGTAATTCTGGAAAGCAATCCAAGATTAGAACTGTCAGGATTCGTTTCAACTCGTTTCAATTCGTTTAACAAGATAATAAAATTTTAAATATTAGAGAAATCTTGAAGGAATAGCTATAAATATTATAAAGCTCGCGTATCAATTGCATGCTTCCCGAAGAATGCTTACAATCCAATTTCTATGAATTTTTTGATATAAATAAAAAAAGGAGTATAATACTTTTAAATTATACTATTATTATTATATACTATACTACTCAGCTTTCAATGAAATTTATAAAATCTCGATGTGAGAATGAGAGAATGTCCGTTTTCTTGAAACAACCTCTAATTATGATCGATATTAATTAAGGAATTACGAAAGTACAAGAGGTTGTGCTGTATTGAGTAGGAATTCTTTAATGGAATCCTCGAATTATATCAGGATAGTATAAGAAATTATAATAAGTGATAAACATCCTTCCCACTTATTCGTCCAAAAGTAATCTCTCCGAGCCTTCTAAAAAGATTTTCAAGAGGCGTGTGGCTCATCCTTGAAAGCACTCGAGAAGAAAACTCAAATAAGCTCTCCGTCAAAATATTTAATCATCCATAACCCTCGACTCGTTTGGTTTAAACAAGATCAGCACGAAATCTGTAAACTCAGCTGAAGGAAGACAGGGGTGACCAACGACGGAGAAAGCTCGATCGCACGAAACACGATACTAAAGCCAGCCTAAGGGGGTTTGGCAGTATGAAACAGAAGACGAATCCGCAGATCATTTCGCCTCATCGACGTCCAACGTGACGACGGGCAACGAGCACGCCGAGGACGACGACGACGACGACGATGAAACGAGCACTGCCGTTTGTTCTCCGAGATGGCGGAGGAAAAGGAGAAGCAGACCTTCCTGCAGAAGCTGTTGTTCTATACGACCGGGTTCTTCATCCTCCTCAGCACCTTCAGCCTCTTTGCCTTCCTCTTCTTGGTCCCCTTCGTCATCGACCCCGCCTTCACCACTATATTTATGCAGTTCGACACTCGGCCAGCCTTGTGTATCACCATCGACGTTGAGTCCAGGAGAGGTGAACAATCCGGCATCAAATCTTCAAATTCCCTTCTTTCAATTCCGTCAAATCGGTGTTTTGCTTTCATTGTGTCGTTGCATGTGATTCCCTCTTTCACTATGGTGTCTTCACGCGGTGTCTCTTTTTCTAAAGACCACTTTCTTCCTCCACTTGTAAGCATTTAGGGTTTTAGATTCATTGGTTTAGAAATATCAGTCTTCAGAGGTTCCACTGTAGATATTGTATATTTAAATTGAATTTAATGATATGGTGTACGATAGTTTTAAATCGTTGTTTAGAGATAATGTATATAGTGTAGGAATCTCAATTAATCGATGATATGTTTATGGCTTCCAATAATTAAACTCACTTAATCAGATGAAATTAATTTCAATTATACTGGATGTTTTTTTCATCACATTTATTATTTCAAACTCACGAAATTCGAGTTTGTACGTGTATCTAATTTCTCCAATATATTTCAATAATTAAGTTGCGATTCATTCTGTT